GAACCAGTGAGCCGACCGACGGCCGGCCGGCCGGGCCGGCTGACCAACTGTCCATCGGGCAGCCCGGAGCATGGTGAGCGAGCTAGCCGACCAGAAAAATTCGAACAACGATCCACGCTGAGCACGGGATTCTCAAGCCCGGCCAAACCTCGTCCCTTGTGGTGGAATTTGGGGAAATTTTGAATATGGTTTCTGGGTTAAGTCCTTCTGGTGGGTACGTTCGAAACGCGAGCTGCATAAACCAAAACGTCCGGCACGAACGCTCGTGCCTTGAGGTTTAATGCTCCATGAGACAATCAATTGTCCGTTGTTGCTTTCAATGTGTTTGGAACCGGCTCCGATCGGCAGCTCTTACGAAATGAAACATCACAGCGGAATGACGTCTTTTTCGAAACAGCGAAACACAGAATCGTAGCCCTGTGATTGGGGTCCGAGTGCTCGGAGTTGTGTGCTCCCTGAAATTTTCGTTGGTGGTTTGCACGTAGGCGACGCGACCGGGACGATGTGAGTACACACCTACCACAGGATGACAAATTCGTAAGGTATTCCAGTGGTTTGCCGAATGCTACCAGACCTCGCATCGAAGGCCGCTAATCGCGGTGCCTCGCGACTTATCGATCGACGAACGGCTTTCGGAGGTCCAGGGGGGGATCTTCGGATCTCAAGCATCGAGCTCATCGGATCAGAAGCGACGAATGCAACGTGTCCGGTAGACGATCTCCTCCTGAGAGAGAGAGGATAAATGCTTCTCTCAGTGAGACGAACTCTCGGCGGGGGTGATCCATTCGAGCGCCAAGCTCAAATGGGAATTATAAGTTTTGGACGTAGAATTCCGAAGCGAACAGGCGTTGCGGGCACCGTTTTCTTCGGTTTTGTCATTTGAATACAATAGTTTCATTTACGATGGCTCGCGTGGAAAAAAAAGTATCTCGACCCACTTTGGTTTTTGATGATCCCCGCAAGTGATCTGATTCAAAATTCGGGAATCGGCCTTGGGGTCCCTGGGAGGCTTAGAATTCAACGGGGTGAATACCGGAGAGAAACTCGAGTGCCCCTGATTCTATTCCACGGACACATGATTCGGTAGAGCGGGAGTTAAATCGATTTTCTGCGACTCGTGCTCGACATGCGGGACAAAGCGCGGAGAATGAATTTCGGTTTGACGAGGGTGCGCGAACCTCGAGCAGTGCTGAAGAAGCCCAGACCTCTCGTTGGATGAGAACACCCCCATGCGGAGCCAGGAGGGGGCAGCGTGCGAGAACTCGGCGACTTTCGGGAGAAGAACCCTCCTCGGGCTATTGATTGAGCACTCTCCGGCTAGGATTCGGAGCCGAGAGTCAGCATCTCGGTAGAAGATGACTCATTTGCGATGAATGATGCGTCCGCTCGCGCTGTGAATTAATTGAGCGCGAGCCTGATTCGGGCGCTGAAGACCTCGAGAAAACACTGAATCGAGCAGTTTGCGGATGGGGACACTCGCACTCTGCCCGGAATTCGATCCAGCGATAGGCGAGAGAAGGCGGAAAAGTAGTTCATTCAGTAATCATCTCGGTACGTGTGAATGACAGATATTGGCGGAAGCGCGAATTTTCCGGCTTCGAAAATCCATTTTCCGAATGGCTCCAATTACCGAGATCCTTCTTCCTTGTCTGGTTAGAGGAATGCACCAAGACAATTCGAGTGCACACCAATCTAATTTCGCTCCAGATCATCTTTATTGCTTGTACTCAAGGAAGGTGCTCCGGGCTAATAGGAACAATGAGGACGGCGGGAAGAAGATTTCCCTACCGAATTGGACGACAGTTACGTAATGACATCCAGGGTTCACTTTCAGTGCTGTTAGTAAATCTTGGTGCTGTCGGTGCTTGTGGTGATGGTAGCCGTTGTGGTGGCGAGAGGGCTCTGTGAAAGGAGGCGAAGTCGATATGGTTGGCGGCAGTCAGTCGGCAAAAGTCAGTCTTCGGATCAGTCAGTGGTGAAGAGTACAGTGAGGCTTCTGAGAATCTAAGACAACAAGTAAGGGAACTTCTTATGATAAAAGTAAGGAACCAGTGAAAATCGATCAATCCGATCGATCCTTTGGATAGCGAGTGTGACGCGCGTTCGCCCTATCGTTCCAATTGCATCCGGAAGCACCTCGGCAACACGTGAGACACTGGTCTATTCTATCTTCAATTATGCTCTTGTCTTATGTTATTATTCATTATTCGACGGCGATTCCGTGCGGCGGAGACTTTCGACAGAAATAACTGGTATCGAAAACTCCTCCATCCAACTTCGGCTCGGTAGAGCACTCGCGATCCGAACCTTCTGTTCTCAGCCGTATGGTGAACCCTGAACCCGCGGCGGACTGTTCGTACCGAGTGGCTGGCGCTGCTACCGTCGCAGTCCCAGCTGGAAGTGAAAGTGTTTCGCGAGGAGCTCTAGAAAACGGAGTTCGGGGGAGCCCCGGGCCAAGTCCTCTTGTATAACGAAGTAGGTCGCGAGAAAACGTTCAGTAAGATGCCGTGGCCCGCTGGCAGAGCGCCGGCGATGCTGTTTAGACCATCGAAGCGAGCCATGCTTGACGAGATTCGGCGCTGCACTGCACCATTCCAACACCACCGGTGGCCGGAGCGGCCGGAGCAGCGGCAAATTAAGAACCGTTAGGTATGCTTCCACGGCGGCGAGTCTTACTTTTACAGCCGGAGTTTCGACCGAATTCTTCAAATCGGCTCCGTTTCTGTTTTCCCTTTCACTCCGTTGAGCTTGGACTGCGTGTCTGTCACGGGAGACTCTGTCGTGACTGGTGACCCATCTCGAAATTTGAAGGCTCTCCGGACATTTCCGCCAAGCATTTGTTAGAGCTTGAGGAAACGGGTCAGGATAAGCGGGTAAATCCATCGTGCCACGGGAACGAATCGCCCGGGTTTGTCTGTTCCGTTACTTTGCTCTGATGCTCTTCGGATAGAGGTCCCGAGTGATAGATCTGGTTCAGCGTTCCCCGAGTCGCTGCAAAGCGAAGATCGTTTCCGTCCGAGTTCCGAAAACAGACAGAAACGTTGACGCCACGACTCAACGGAGGAACCGAAAGCAGTGAATTGAGCTCTTACTGTCAAAGCCATAGAACTTGTTTTCTTGGGCTTGTGCGCGCTCTGATTGAGTTCACAATTCGGCAGGTTCCAGCAATAGAGATCGGTTGGAGAATTTTCGACCGTGGTACGCTCCTGTCATTGTAATTGTGACACTCAAAATCAGTCAGTACTTTATCCTTCGGTAGGAGCTATCCTCCTGCCGCAGGAACGCAGCTCTGTTTACCTATGAGTTGCGCTTTTGTGCAACGAGCGTTTGTGTACCATCTCCCGACCACGTTAGCGACTATAGCGGCGAAGACGGCCTAATCTTGACGCCATGCCGCTTCGTGTGCGAATAGCGTTTTCGCTGAGGAAGACTCTTTGAATGAGGTGTTTGACTCCGGATCGGGAACTCACTCGTTCGCTCTTCCCTTCGCCAGAAGTCGGCCTGGAAGATTTCGACAAAAATGTTGAATCTTGTCCCGGCGCTATGTCGAAATGGCGCAGAAGATTCCGGCGCGCGTCCGACAGCAACACGAACCGATCGGAGAGAAAACTTATGTTTTCGATTCCGGAGATAGTCTGACATTGAGTAAGAAGACGATGCTCCAAATATTCCGGGAGAACTGAGCCGGCTCGGTGTTCTTGAAGTCGTAGTTGTCCTGTGTACTAATATGTCTCAGTACTCCTCTTCTGTTGATCGCTCCGATCTACCTCAGTTTGGTAATAATTCTCCCAGCGTTGCCATCGTCGTCTACTCACGTTACCTGCTGTCACTCACCCTCTGAATGTTGTTTTAACCCTTCCAAGAATGTAACCGCTCACGGTGGCAATGATTCCGAATTTTCGATGCAGATAACTTCATTGAGAAGCTGCGTTGTATCGATTGAGAAACCAGTTGGGAAAAACTATTCTTCTGGTCGTGAAGACTCAACAGTTGTAACGACAGGGGAGAAAAAAATCTGGATCTTAACGAGCGTGACGAGGATTTCTTTGGAAAAAAAAAGCCGCGGGACCACGAAAAACAAATCGCGCACCCGACAACGAGCTGACTCCAGCCTTCGGGCATCTGTAGACTGTCTCTGCTGCTCGATGCCGGGAGAAAACAAGGGAGTCGCGACGCAAGTTCACCTTCGGGAATAGTGGGGCTCCTCGAGAGGAGCGTCAGTGGCTCCAGAATAGAGTTTCCACCGATGAGCTTCCACGGACCGTTGGCTCGCATGCTCCGTTATTTTCCGACTGAAGGAATGTGGCGAACTGTGAGAAGATTTCGGAGAAATTCGGGCGCTAAGGAAATATTCGCCGGGTTCCTCGATCGTGAGCATTAAGCGGTTCAGAATCCAGTAATAGCGAAAGCAGCGGCAGAAGAAAAGCTATTTCTGCTCGCAGTCCTTGACCAAAATGATTATACTGTTGGGACTTCTGGTCGACGTGAATTCATCAGGTGTTCTGGCTCATTCTGCTTTGTCAAGAGGGAAACTAATTAAACTAAACTACGGCATGCACAGTATGTGCTATTAGAGACCATCGATTTCTCCCAGAATCTGTGTCCCGTTGCACAAGGTATTCGCCGATTACTCATCACCGGCGACCATCAGTGAGCACGAGCGAATCTGCAGTTGCTCATCACTCATCTTGCGTGGGCTCTGTCGTAGAACTGAAATCGGATACGAACTGTAGACCGGGGAGCTCCGGATGCAAAACTTCCGCTTTGGGTGATCGAGCTCGGATTCGCCCGTCCGTCGTCTCAATGTTTCGCCTTCTCGAGTACGTCGGATCATTTCACAACAGTTGATCGTTCGGGCGAGAGAGAAGAATTCCCGGCCTATACTCCAATGATATTGTGCGATGAAAATCCGGTGGCGCTTCATCAGCTCGATGGGGCTATAGGTGCCCCGTTTCTGGACCGGAAATTCGAAGAATGGTCGCTGATGACAGCACTCCCTCAAGCTCCGCAGTTCTTCTTCTTCTGGAGGAATCGGACGGGTTGTTGTCCCACTTCGATCTCCCGTGTGTGCATATGATCCGTGCTCGGAGTTCCGTTGACCGAGTCGTTCGCATTGTTGAAGTCCATGTTACAAGACAACCTTCTGATTCGCACTCGTGCAGTCAACCGCTCATTCCGTGACACGTCAGTGGGCAGTATCGACTGGTTAGTGTTCGGAACGGTCCGAGACAGAGGATCGAGTGAAAACTCCATCCGCATTTAGACCACGGATGTTTCATATGCAATCACGCACAACCCAAGTTCTGTGCTCGCGACCTTCGCCCATACTTTCGCTTATCTCTCCGTCGTTGCCCGAGCTCTTATCGATGTTACGCGGTGGCGTTACACAACTTAGGATTCTTTTGAAAATCGCTCCTCTCGGATGCAATGCAGCGTTGTTCGAGCAAACGTCTGCTCTAGGAGGGCCGGCAGCGGGGTCGAACGAAGTTTGAAACACAATATCCGCAACGACGACGTTGACGCGATGGCGATTCCATAGCTCCCGATCCACTCATTGAACGTGCCAATGGGCGATCGAGGAGTTTTTTTTCTGTTCCCCCTCCCGAGAAATATGGTCGGTTTGCTTCACCTCGACACCGGTCGCCTTGAGCTCCGCTTATGGACAACGCAGTACATCGATAGGCTGACTCAGTGAATCGGTCATAGCATTGTAGTCGCGGTTTGTTAACGCGCTGATGAAGTCAGACGGAACAGAAGTCGGGATAAGGCGACTTTTGCGGATCAACGTCCATGGTCACGTATCCGGTTCCTTCGACATGATTCCTCCGGTTTTTCCAATGCATCTCGGAGAACTTTGCTGGTGACGTAAACCTACTTTTGTGACGTCTATACTCCAGAAAATGAAAAAAGAATGCCGGCAAAGAGCTGACCGGATGTCGGCCAATGAACCACTGCAGAAGATCGAAGATTGCGTAAATTTGCCGTGGTGCGTCCATGCAATCAGTTTTTCTTAGTCAGCACACGTGATTGGAAACATACCTACAATGTTTATATTTGCGCGCGGTCGTCGTCGACCCCTAAAGGAATCTTTCCAATCCCAGTTTTTACCGCTGGGATGCGCAGACTCGATGCGATACTTCGGGAAACATTAATTAAGATCAGTGAAATTATATGGCGGTCCTTCTGCTCGGAATATGAACACCGATTTTCCTTGAGAAGTAAGAGCGGTATAAGCCCGATCATCTGCCATTCGTAGCGGTTCCCTAAATAAGCCAATCAGCAAGGGGAGGTCGAAGGAAACGAAAAAAAACGGATCGAGGTGATGGAAGCGTTCCCATAAGAAACGCGATCGGTCGAGACATTGACTACGAACAAGAAAATTCGTAAACAAGAACCGAGTTATTCGGCACTGAAATAAAAAAGAAACAAACGAAGAACATAATCCGGGAAGCAAAACCACGGCTGGGGGTGAACTCGAGGACTTCGACGATAGGTCAGAGATCTCTCGTTCGGAAGCTGAGTCAAGCGCTCCGGAACTCCAACAGCATGCGAGCGCGCCGAGAGCCGCCAGACTGTTGACTTCCACGGCAGAGCACGCGACTCGCAGAGCGTCTTTGAGCGACCCGGGGACTTCCCGCGACTCGATGACCGAGCCTGTGGGATTTACGAAATACGGATATTCCGGGCCCCCTCGCGGAGCTTATTCAAAAAAACAGTGTACCTCCCCGGAATGGCTCGAGTAATTGAGCGAGCGGACTTGCGACCGACCCGCCACTCTGTGTACTTCCCCTGATTTTTGTCTCAGCCGGAAAAGGAAAGAGGGGTAGAGATGTTCTCCGATACCCAGCCGAAAGGAGTGACGTTATTTCGAACATAAGATTCTGACCATTGAATTACGCTCGCCAGAATATATCGTGACTTCAACGAAACCAAAGCTCGATTACGTAAGTCAATCCTTTTGAATCTTTCTCTTAAACCCGCGATTCTTCGAGGCCGTATCGAGTGTGCAAGGGCTGGAGCGAACGGTTTCGACGTGAGAAAATTGAGAGGAGCTCGAAACCTGGGGGAATCCCTCCCCTGTTGCCCATAAAATCGATCAGCTTCGTAGTTGCTGGTTGCCCCTACGAACTCGGACAAGATTCTTGCCTGATTTGTGGAACGGGTGATCAAAAACCCCTGAGCGTACTCCAGAAGGCATCCATGGGGGATCAGGATGCGAAAGTTTGGGAGCGATCTCTTGACCTGAGGCACTTCGGAAAAGCCGAATTTCTGAAATTTCCCCGTTTTGAATGTGATAACTTCTGTTGGTATCCATTCTGCGATTTCAGTATCAGGCTAACCGAAATGAGGCGGTGCTGATAACAGCGGCAGTTGCAGCTTTCGTTCAATGACTCTCTGCTCAAACTCACGGAGCGAAACAGAAAAAGTCTTTGAAAAATGAGCGCTTGAGAAATGAGCCGTTCGGTTTCTGTGCCTCACTTTTCTCTTATGTAGTGTGGACACTCGAGGCTTGCTCACCCCTGTGACGCGAAATCCGCGCAGGATTTGCGTAATCTTCCATACGAAGAGTGAAAAGCGAGCCGAGCTCATTCGAATGAATAACTCGGACGGACCCTTCATGGAGGATTTCTGATGCCATTGCTGATTTGCCCGGTCTCGCCCCCGGCCATCCGAGTATTCGATATCGGTCCACTCTGTCAAAATCCTCGACGGGGAGCTCTTGGCTCTCGAAGAGGTCGTACGCTTCAGCTGTCCGAATCGGTTCCCCGGTCAGTGCTATGGACAGATCACAAACCGATTGATGGATGTCTGATCGCAAATCTCATTCGCTCAACTAACACGTGAAATCTTCGTAAGGAGCAAACTGTCGACAGCGACAAAGCGGCACGGGAGAGCATTACGTCCGGGACTTGTTGAAGGCATCACAACCGAACGTACCCACACATGAACGGATGTAATCAATATAAAAACTTCAATAGGCTCGACGAATAAACCAGAAGACGATGATCCGTCAGGAGTTCTGGAGTCCAGAGTTATCGATCGTTTTGTTTCTCCGGGACTTCCTTGATGGATTTTCGGAAATCCGTTCGATCCTGGGTGCACGAAGCAGATCTCAAACATTTCCGAGTTGGATCGTCGATTACTTCCGAGATTTTTGAACCGGAAAATCCAGCAATTAGCCTTCGGGAGCATCGATGCCATCAGTCGTGACGTCACCCCCCATCACGGCATGAGTTCCCGAATGGAGAGGACTCTCCCCGCATATCGGATTTCTCGCTTTGATGTCTGGCTCCTCCATCTAATTCTAAGATGAGCCTCCCTCGAGCTCCCGAATTCTAACAGTCTAAAAATCATTGGATGAGGACGTTCAGGACAAAGAGGATACCCTTATTATTCTCATCGAGGATCATGCTCGTCTGGTTTCCGAGGCCCCGAAACCTGCCCATTTGTTAGGTGCTGCTCGTATGCTGGAGCCTGCCCGTATATTTCTCCTGTACCCCAAGATGTGGATAGCGCAAGACCCATCCCAATCTTTATCGTTCACGAAGCTCCTATTGCGTGAACTCGCGTCTGAGGTTTTTCGGGAGCTCGAGGAGGCAGCGAGCGGGAATTCTTCGCCTTGCAGTTCAACACAGTGAATACATTGGGTCGAACTCCAAGTTCTTCGAGCTGTCTCTAGAAGTGTTGCTTTAATCGACAAGACGAGTTCAAGATATTCTTCAACGATTGAAGTTTCCATCTTGGGGGATGGCGCTCCGCGGTTTCGCCGGAACGATTCGCCAGTTCATCTTGAATGGACGAAGGCTAATGAATTCTCGAAAGTCTCTACCGCGGAGCATTCATTGTTAGCAGAACGTGTGAACGATCTTTGCGGAGTCTATCCAACTCAACAATGGCGGCAATCAATCAATCAATCGATCTAACTAAACATGGGTCGTCGGTCATCGCGATGCGCCGAAGTCGTTGATGTCAATCGATAGCAGGTATCTGGGCGCCAGCGGGCTGTCTTCGTTGAGGCTCGGCGCGAAGAACCGACGGTGCGCTTTTGCCGCGACCCTGATGGGAGCCATGGGCAGGTCACACACAGAATATGCGGTCGATATAAACACAGTCGGCTTCTGGGTCAATGGAACTTCTGTAGACTTCTGCGGCCGATTCTGATCGGCGTCTGTAGCAACTTTTAACCCGATTCCTCTGTCCACACAACGACACTCGACATATTTTTGTGAGCGGACTTCTTGCGCGCTTCGGAAACGTGTGCCGTGTGGACCAGAATAGAGCTCGGACTCTTCCCGGGGCTTCTCCTAGAGAGCTGAACCCACAGCACGATGGGTGGGGATTCTCCCGCGGCTTACGCGAAGCCTCGTTCGGAATCATGCCGCCGTCTCTGACAGGGGGATACCTCGAAACTCAAGGCTGAAGAAAGGGGAAGTTCGTGGAGACGATTCTCAAGAACGCTGAAGTCAACGAGACACTCGTCCCGGGTTGACGGCTGGCATTCGAAGTTCAAAGTCACCCTGGCTGAGCTGGATCAGTGATGAAGAGAGCAATGCTCGCGGATCGCGCTGCTAGCCCGCGGGAGGCTCATTCAATGTTTGTCCACGTCAGGGCTGAAAACTTACGTCTTTGCTTCGTCCCGAACTCGCTCTTCTGTCACGGAGTCTAAACAGCCTGAGGTCCGGCTTATGAGGAACCCTCGTCCCTTTCTTGGGAGGGAAGCTCTTCCCTCTTGGCACCAACGTGAAAGTTTCTTATCACCTTATCGGCCCCTCATTGGCGGGGCAGCAGGGTACGCACGATTCAGAAATATCGATGCCATCGCTCTATCGGTCGCTGGAGTCCAGGAGGATGAGAGGAATTCAATGAAGACTGAGAGAAATGAAGGACGATTGGCGGTCAAAACGGGAATCGGTTATCTACACATGGATCCCTATCCGTGAAACACTTGCCGCTCCAGGAACTCGAATAATGATTTCAGAGAATCAAACCCGTCTGATGTTTATTTTCTGTTCGGAACTCCCGGCTGCTCGGATAAATTATTGTTCCGCGTCAGTATATTTGCGTGATACGCGGGGAACTTGAGAACGTCCGATACACAAGTCCGACGGAATTTCGGTCCGGAGACTAAGTTTCGGGGATTTCCGGAGACCGAGATCCTTGGCGAGTGAAGCCGAACCCATCGTGTATGAACCCATCTGTCGGAGATGATGTCGATGCGATGCTCATGAGTAGGGCTGGGAAGTTGGCGCCATCGCGCCAATAGCCGTGGATTTTCGCGGTATTTTCAGGCGATCCTCCAAAGGAAGTCAAGGGGGGGGAAATTGCCATGAATTTTCGGGAAAAATGCCGTGAATTATTCCCAGCCTCACTCATGAGAGATGTAAGATGAAGTACTTCTCCGTCAATCTTCTCCATACCTGATGGGGCGACAATCTCCTTCGTACATGAGGAAGCGACAATTTTCTTCATTCCTAATGAAGCGACAAACTCCTTCATTTCTGCGCGCTTTTAGGCATGCGTTTGCTGATCTGTATTCGACTTCCACAAGCTAAGACTGATTCCAAACGGAAGTTGTGGTTGACGACTCCCAACGAAATCTGAAACACACAAAATTATTATCCCTGGCTCGAAAGCGTCAACCTTGATACTCGCCGCCAACGAGCCCACCCGACACATTGATCGTCCGGATTGTCGCGGATGGACAAGGATACGATTGAATGCGGTTTTGGAGACAGACTTGGACGAGATTTCGTGTGTATCTGTGGCGATTTTCCGGAATTTCCCCATGATCCTTCCCTCAGCGCCGGAGTCGCCACCAAGAGAACTCTTCGCAGTCGCCAGAAGCCATATTTTCGCGCGGATTAGCGACATCTGAATCTAGATTCTAGGATATCCGAGTACGAATGAGGAACTCATAGCTCGATGGTGCGGAGAGCAAGTGTGCTTGATCCAGCCTCTCACAGCCTCGATCTGTATATTCGGGGATCGCTGGCGAATCCTCCTGACAGAGCTCGGGAAAGTTCCAGCTTATTTAGAATAACTTGTTCCGCTCAAGTCCACACAGACGGTCACCCGTCCTATCGATATAATTTCCTTCTCGGCGTATCCGATTTCGGTGGACCAGAGTTCGAACGTGGAAGCGGTTTGGAAATCCGTTCAATCCCGAAGAATCATCCCATCTTGCTTACAATCCTTCCCGAGATGTTCCTTCCTCGAAGGATTCTCGGCCGCGGCTCTGGAACCAGAAGAATCAGTGCGCGATCGAATTCGTATCTTCTGAGCTCTTCTGCAGCTTGATTCGAGTTGGTCTCTTCGCGCAATTTATCTGAGCGGAACTCCGGTAAATCCTATTATCTCTCGGTCAGACCGATATAAATACTCGAGGGTGGACACTCGGATAAATAAGCAGCGATTTTCCGGCTGCAGACCTTCTAGGAGTCGATCGGGCACTTCGGACAGCGGCTTAACACCGTACGTCTTGTCAAGGTGAACATCCAGCTATTTTTGGAACTGTACGAAAATGTCATCCAGTGGAGAAATGTGTCAGAACTTCACATCGGATGGACTTTGAGATGCACATAAAGCAATCGAAGCCGAAAGTCGCAAGCCTGTCCGTCACTCGGGAGAACGCCTACGCACAACGTGTCAAAAATTTCCCCGTCAGGCATCCCCAGATCACCCTCGCGGGATCCTAAGCGCATTTAGCAGCTCTTCCGCAGATCGGTTCGCCTATTGTCCGCGGAGTTCGGTAGCGCGCTCGGTCTCGAGGGTGGCGCCGCTTGATGGTTGTGGCACTTGAGCGAGCCAATCACCACCATCGAACCGCGGAGGAAATTCAAACCGTGATACCCTTCCGTAGCAGAAGTAGTCCTTCTTCGACACAGTTTTCCGAAGCCGAGCGGGGCTCGCCATCGATTTGGCTCTCCGCGTAGCCGCCATGGCACATTCTGTTTAATTCGCCGTTTCCATTCAAGCAGTCCCCATGCTCAATCAAGGAGGCTTGGATGTTGGAATGCGTGTCCTAGCTCGCACCTCGACTCCTGAGTCGGGGAGCTCAGAGCAGCCGTTCAGGGAATTTTTTCAAAAAATAATCTGAATGGGCCAATAAACGCTGTCGACCGCGAATGTTACGTCAACCTCGCGGTCATTTAGATTATTGAGAGCATTCGTTCGACGTAGCTCCCATCACTGCGTCGCCCAAGGAGCGCCATGGATAAAACGTACCGTCACAAGAAAAAAGTGAACCGCCATGAAAGTCGATCCTTGACGGATAGTCGATGATGTTGTTCATTTCGGTCCTAATTCGTCATCTGGAGCCGCTGATTGCATACTTTTCCCCTTCCGAAAGCAACAATAACTGTAGTGATTATCATTACTGACATCGATATTGTCGACGGAATCACCGAGACTGAAACGATCGTTTGGCGTCGCTCGAATCCTCGCGATCGGGGACCTTGAAACTCCCAGCGGGTCATCCCCTTCTCGTCGTCGAGTCCCGTAGGCGATTCGGATCGGTTCTCGTACCTTTCAGAAGGGTAGTTTCCCATGTCCATCTCCTATCAGTCTCCAGGAGACACTGCGGCTGTCCGCCCTATTTCGATCGTTAGCCGGACGATTCGTGAATCATCAACGTTTTCCACCGAAATTTTCGGATCGCATACCCTTTGCGAGTCAGCGAATTCCACGCTGCGCGTTGTGGAGCTCCAAGTGTTGTCCAAAGAAAAGACAAAAGAACGGCGTGCATGCGGCGTGGCGGGCGGACAAACAAGTAAGCATCGGGCGAGATATGGAAGCAAGCCGTTGTCCCAGTGCGTCTTCCGGGGATTGTCTGCCGACGTAGTCGCGACTCGTAGTCGGTTCTTCCGGGGCGACAGTCTTCGGGGCGGCAGTGACTTCATACACCTTGCGCGAGCTAGCTGGCTGGCCGCGCCGCGGTGGCGATGTGAAGTAACTGACCCACTTTCCGCATTAGCCAAGAACAACATCGACAACAAAGTCGACGGCGGCGACGCCGACGGTAGCTACGAAGATGTGCGCCGCCGCATCGGCACCATCGCGATCAGCAACGAGCACGAGAGGTTCGAGCTGCAGAAGCTAAGCTACGAGGCGCGGAATTCTTCTGTTCTGGAACTGGTGCAATCACGCCCCTACGCTTGTCGCTCGCTCGAGCGTTCAAGGGGGTCCATGGTCATATTCCATGACAGGAGAAGCCTCCCCGGGCAAGTTTGACCAAAAGAGAAGTCGAGCGCGAAGGCTCTGTTCTTCTGGAAAACAGGGGACCAATTTGGCACCGTATCCGATCCCGGACGCGAATGCGGGGATGATGAATTGCCGAGCTTCGTGCGGAGAGCCGGTGTAGTCTGATGAGTGATATGTACATATATTCGAAGATAAGTAGAAATGGATGCACGAGAAGTTCCATGGTGACACTGGAGAGAGTCTGGTGTAAAACTTCTGTTCTTTGTTTACAGATCATGGCCTCGCTCGACATGGATCTTACTCAGAGTTGGCTGCCCTTGCCCGAAAAAGACTCCCGGGTCGAGGGATGGCTCATGCTCGGGAATCCCACCCCGATCGTCGTAATCTTAGCATTCTATGTGTACATCGTCAAGGTGAGTGGACCTGCATTACTTTTCGAGAACGGCTCTTTCTGAGCGCTTCCTGAGAGACTTTCGCTCCGAGGGAATATATCAATTCTCTGGGTACAGATTCGAGGTCTCATCTGAGACGAATCCCTCATTGGAATCGGAATGTCCACCCGCTCCGAGATTCTTACCGAATCGGACTTTATTCATTGGACGACAGGTTCTGGGTCCCGGCTACATGAAAAACGCAAAAGCGTTCGAGCTTCGCCCGATCATCCTCCTGTACAACGCCTTGATGCTCGTCGCCAATCTATCGATCTCGTCTTTCGTGATCTACCACGCTTTCTGGAAAGGTTAGTATTCGCCATGTCGGACGCCGGTTTTGCGAATCGAACAACTCTAGAACGAACGTTGCATTTCATCCACTCTTCAAGCTGCGGGACTGTGCTAATACAGGATACCCCGAGAATCGAGTTTGGCTAGTCGGGGGTGACGAGCCGAGAAATCTGTCTCAGAAAGAAGGTGTCACCGATCAGCGAACTCGCTCCAGCGCGTGGGAGAAGAACGAAGTGACACGGAAGAACTCGTGCTGGAAGTTCTGCTCTGCGCCTCTGCTTCCCCAATAGTTGTCTTCTGAGCGCGAGCAGAAGTTTCCGCTCGGCCGTGATGATATTTCTGCTGGCTGCATCTTCAACCCTTTTCGCTCTGTTGCTTCCCGATCATGCTCAGATGTAGAAGCGCGAACGAGAGAATCATAAAACGAATGATGTCGTTTAGGCTACTCTCTTGAAAGAATAACCAGAATGAGCTGAACGTTGAGCGGCTCACTACAATCAATCAGACGTCCGGATCCCCGGGATCGACAGGACGACTGCCTCCAATGGTTCATTTACAATAGTTCCGATCGAGTGGTTCAACTTACTGAGTCAAGCAGCCTGTTACTAAGTCATTCACTGTAATGCTCGCTCAGTCAATCACCGATCACAGAAACTTGCTGATGGCCCATGAAAATATCCGCCATTCACATGAACGCAGAGCCGACGATTCGACGATTTTGAGTTTTGCTAGGCAATCGTCTTAGCTCCTTCCCCCTTGATCATATCAAGGAAGAATTCTTAATAACATTGAAAATCGTGGGGTTCCAGGCCACTACGCCATGTGGTTCACCGAGCCCGATCTTGGAGACCACCCAACGACCCTCTTGCTGCTGAATGTTTCTTGGTACTATCTCGTCCTCCGTTTGACCGAGTGCATCGAGACCGTTCTCTTCGTCTTGAGAAAACGTTTCAGACAGGTGAGAATATTTTCCGGGGACCCCCAGGCACCCCCCTTTGGATGGTTGACTTTGATCGATTCGGTCCTTATCCGGATGCGGAACTCTGACGTAGAACTCTTCGTTTCCAGGTCTCCCTCCTGCACGTTTTCCATCACGTCTCAGTGACTTTCTCCGTGTACTTCTACATAACTTACGGAGGTTTCGCCCTCGCCTGCTTCGAGCTCACCTTCAACGCGCTGATCCACGTCGTGATGTACGGCTACTACTTCCTCTCAGCTTGCGGCCCCTCGATTCAAAAGTACCTCTGGTGGAAGGAGTACCTCACCCTGATGCAACTCGTTCAGTTCGTCATCATGATCGTTCGTAACATCATGCTCGTATTCTGGCTCAAAAACAGGTGAGTTCAAGGCACTCTGCTTTCTTAGCAGAAACTCCCGCCGAATTCATTTCGAAAGCTCTCGAATCCTTGACGAAAGACCAGAAAACTTCCAAAAATGTCCGAGCAGAGAGGAAGTACTCCTGGTATTCCATTCAAGCGGTCAAGCACCCCATTCCGAAAACGTTTTTTTTGCGGTGTCGCTTCTTTCTTAAATGCAGTTCACGGCGTTTTTGAGAATCGCTCAAGAGAAATCGGGCAGCGCGGAACTTTCTTTGGTCTGGCCCCTATTCCTACTATCCCGTGATTTGAGTCAGATACCATACGATACTTTCGCCTCAGATCGAGGTCGATTTTAAGACTTCTGTTGAGCATCGCTTCTGGGATTTGTAATTTTCTTCGCGAAAAAAGCCGCACAAATACATTTCGGGAGACGCTTTGAAGAGATAATCCGCTCCCATCAATCCATGGATGACCTGATGGCCCCGGGTCGGCCTTCCGTCGTTTTCCCCTCGAGTGAGTGAGCGAGCTCCTCCAGGAGAAGCTCGTAGCGGAAGGGTATAAAATAGAGGCCTTTGCGAATGGCTATCCCTGGATCCTGGCCTGTACCTCCACAATCGTAAGAGCAGCAAAGCGATGAATAATTGATCTATGACTGGAATCGCGGAATAGTGCAGAGACTGCAGCCAACAGTGATCACACCGCAAACACATTTGAATGCCTCTGGCTGAGAAAAACATCTATACTCTCCATGTGAGGTCTCGCTGTTCCGATTTTCTGTCGGTAACGCATCATGAAACTCGAGCGAATTGCATGAGGAGATTCCACTCAGGGAATAGAGGAGCCTGCGCCAGAGCGTGAACAAACTCGATTTCTGAGGGAAGAAACCATCATCTTATATTTCCAAGGCTGCTCTGTTCCATCTCTCCTAATCTTTCATCGTCTGAGGGGTTATCGAGAGCCGCCACCAGGGTATCCTTTGGAGTCGATTCCCGTCTCAAAACTTCCGGAACCGAATTCTGCAGCGTCAGAGCGCACATACTCGCTCCGGATACTCCGCGTTGCTCATTGATATTATATCTCAAGGCGACGCGGTCTTTCATCTGCTTCTTCATTCCCATGCACAATCTTATCACAAGACGCTGAATGGATTTCTATAGAAAAAAAAACCGATGGCGCGTGCTTAACCGTGTCCAACAATGACGGAGGAGAGGGAAACCATCACGCCAGAGTGAAGTTCGAACGAGCTCCCGCGACAGCAAGATCTTGTATCGAAATGATCTGAGTGACATCAATTGAAAATCCTATTCAAGTTTAGAGGGAACTTCGTCTTGTCCCAAGGAGTTCTAGAACGTCTTTCTTCTGGTATTCACAAACACATCGAAAGCTCCGAACAATTCTTGATCGTTCGAGCAAATCACATCTCTCAAGCCAGAAGAGCAGCCAGAACCGAGCGAGAGAGTGTAAAGGGAAATGGGAATACACTCCTTTCATCCTAAAAGCACTGAACGATGGGATGCGATAGTGTTTTACATTCGCTTATACCATGAAGGAGAATATTAATTGAGCTCTCTATTTCTACAGATACTCCGCGTTGCCTGCGTTTATGCTTCTACAATGCTTCATCTTCTTGCTCCAATTCTTCCATTTCTACATCCAGTCATACCGTAAGAAGCGTGAAGAGAAGTTGCAAAAGCGAGCCGCTCGAGAAGCAGCTCTCAACAACAACCATCAAGAGATGGACAAAAAAGAACTTTAGCGAGTGACTCGGGCCAGCGGCTAGTGCTACTAGTCTTAGTTCGACTGTGGCTTTTGTTTAGGTATGACGAAGAATAAGGAACAGCCGTGGGCTGACTCGAATTCGCTTGTAAATATATCGATCAATCGGAACGTTCCCCCTCAAAGCAACCGAGCGGCTCGATACCGTGTCTTTCGGAGATACCTCAGTTTGAGACCGACTGAAAGATGCCGTTCGGGTGTCGGTGGAGCGATCAGTTTATGTTCATGTTGTCTGTCGCTAGCTCTCTGTCGCTAGCACAATGTCACATTTGCCTTCCCGATCGTCTACCAGCTTATCTTCTCAGCGAAGTCCCGCAAAATCGTGCGGAACTTCTGGGAGTGAGCAGTTGGTGGCTCCTGAAGGTCTTCTGAGATACCCCAGAGGTCTCCAAGATCGAGGATGGCAATCCTGAATGAGTTAGTGACAGAGATGCCCGTATTTTGGAGTCCGTGATGTTTTCAGTGTCTCGATTGCTCAAATTCAGGGGTTCTGTGTGAAGAACGAAGCAGCTCACGGTGGAAGTGATTGTATATAAGCCTAATAGGCGGTGCGGATTCCGCGCAGGGACGGAGCGTTCGGAAGATAACGAGAACAGTAATATAAAGAGAGGAAGACAAGCAGATTAAGCAGAGCAGACTGTAAATAGTCTCCAGTATCATCGACTGTTTTCCGAATACTAAGTACAGAACGAGATAAAGTTCAGCGAGAGGTAGCAGCAGGCGGAACGGATTTAATAAATGTTCAAATTAATCTGTTACGAAGGAATTTCGCAGTCGTTTCCCCTGACGTATCCATGGCGGAGCTGCGAGGTTTAGAAGAACACGCTCTCCCGGCTGAGAGCTCGGAGAAAGGGGGTAGCAGTCGAGGTGACATGTGTAGCTCATGCCTGGAAGGCATTTCTGATCTCCGATAGGGTTCATAACTCATGAGATCAGCAACTGCTCGCGATGAGTGTTCAGCGCAGAATGAGGGGATCACCAGTCATGAGGCCATGTTGTCTGACAAGCATTGCCGTCAACAGGATGGCCGTCGAGAAGGACGCGCACTTCGTCCTCTGGGTACGGGGAGTACATTCCTTTTCGGGAGGCGTCTCAACACGGCGCGTGATATCCTCCGAGGATGGCGTTCTTTCCAGATCGAGCTCCATGAAGATCTCTGGAGTCGTCCTACAACATTGCCGCCCGCGCCACCCCCTTTGTTCCACCCCGATTGAAGAGCAAATGAGGTCGTTTCATTGGATTCGTGACCATGTTTGAACAAACATATGTAGGAGGAGGGCTTCCTAAATTCGTCAATGCTGAAAAACGGAGGATATGTTGGAAATGATCCATTTCCTATTTTGGAAGATAGGAAATTCCCGCATCACTCCTCGAACTGCGAGATGGAAAAACTATCCCCCTGAGGGACACTTCCAATGTAACCTGAGTCAATTAATTTGGACGAGTCGTTTGCGTACTAGTTACTTTATTTTCATCAGACCTTGATAGCCTCATGTTTCACTTCAATTATTTCCTTCCTTAGAGCTGCCGTTCAATTAGATTCGGAGTTATCGGTCGTTTCCAACATCCATCGGAATTCGCTGCATGCATGGGTTTCTTCCACAGTTTGGTGAGAATAGGGCCGTCCATGCAGAGCCCGGAAAACCGCAGGAGGCGGCATGCACTTCTGTTGGGAGACTAGACGGGAGAAAACTCTTTATCCACGGCAGCACAGGAATCCCGACGGTTGGGAACCGCACGCAGACTCCTATCAAAGATTCCCGGGATCGTTCGTGGGGTTTTGCTAACATCTCCACTTCCAGCATCATATTCATCATCATTACCATTATCATTATCATATCTGTAATCTTCATCGGTATACTGATATACGGTATACGCCAGACAGGACCAAGCAACATCGTCGTAGATTCACCTACAGTAATTTTACGAAGCCGTTCCTCCCGTCACCATGGCGGGCAAATTGATATCCGGAGGTTCGGAGAATATGTTCCTGAGAGCGGATGCTGATTCGGTGAATCACTGACTTGCTGAGTTTCCGTTATATTGAGCTCCAGAGGCCCTGTCTGGGGCGTACGTAGTCGATTGCGTGGCAAACCTCATCCCAGAATGAAAGACCCGTGATTTTTCCGGAGAATGGGCTTGTTCGGTTCTGGCTCGCTCGAATCAAACCTTGTGTGTTGGGATTTTGAGCCGGAAGCTAGGCCCGCAATCCCGTTTCCTCAAGACGTGAAATATGCTCAATTACCCCTCTATTCAGTACCAGAACCGGATTTCGCCTACCCGGCTGTGAGAGGGTGAGGGTGCTCTGTTCCCCCTCCGCATGTTTATCTTTGAGAAGTTCCAGGCCTGAATCCGTCCCTGCATACAGGGAAATGTCGAGCATTCGAGATGAGGTGTTGAAACAGTCGATCACTCGAGTCGCTCAGTAACGTTTTTATACGAGATCATTGAAGCCATCAATTGAACCCTGACGTCTCTCGATCGTGAGCGGTTGAAGTCCACGGCACTTGACAGGCTTAAGGATATGTGCTAGGACAGCTAAGTACGCGCGGTATGCTTTCTGGCCTAAAGAGACGGGGTCGAAAGAGGTCACCATTCTGTGACTTTCATGGTTTCAGTTATGAGGAAAGCTGCAGCCTCCATGGAGCTGGGGGCTGTCGAATGCTTGGAATACTCACGGATCTTCAACCCGGATATTACGAGCAATAGCGAGATTAGATCAGACTCTTCGTCGAATGTTAGCTATTGGGCACCGTGTGAGCTAATGAAGATATGAGAAATCTGCGCCGGAAAGCGATACCTTCGGAGCCGTCTACGATGGAGAGCTAGTGCGCGCGGATACAGCGGACGCGTCCGTTCGCAGCTCGAGTCAAGCCGGACACGATTCCTTCTGATTGAAATCTGATACGACTCTCCGAATAAATACCGACAATATTAGGATGTCTGCGTTCCGTTCTGTAGGGGCAATCAAATCCGACATCGCTCACAGCGGAGATGATGCTTCCTCGCTCACCCCATACATGATTTGAGTCAAAATTATGAAACAGTTTACCGAGGATAAACTCTGAGAACTTATTTCCGAGTCCGGTGCGTCACTGTGATCTTGAAGGCTCATTTTCATCTGGTCCTAGTATAGCGTCTAGGAATCTAGGTTCCCCACGATTTTACTCGTGGGTTTGATTATTGATTATATCAGAGCTGAATCAACACGGTTGATGTTGTCGCTGTTTAAGATATTGTCATCAATATGGCTTCAATATTCTCTATTAATCCAGTTCCAATCGCTGTCACTAAGCATCAATAAGGCTCATAGAGTTGAATGGAATCGTCGTGGGAAAATGATGTCGTGCCAACCGCTAGAAATCACACATACAGCCAAGCTCGGAGAGAAGAGAAGGAGAATCCGAAGGGAAGTAAACATATGGATTGCTCAGTTTTGGATGGCAACTCGTTGGAGTCTTTTAGTCCACTCGGAGTCGGGGTGATGGGATGCTTTTACAGAGAGGCTGTCATCTGAGAGCGCCAATTGCTCATATACCCTTTTCCCGGAAGACGAATGAAGAGAAACTCACGAAGAGACAATAAGAACAGTAGCGGCAATGTTCCTCATTGGACGAGGGTCTCCAAACAATACTTTGTGGAGTTTGTTCGTGAAGATTGAGCTTGACTCAATAATCTGGTAAGCCGAACGCCGCGATAACCATAATCAATCATCACTTCTATCATGATAATCTCGATATCACTGCTGAGTGTGGAATTACATTCCGAGTATCGTATTATTCCGGAGTAGAATACTAGAATCGGACGTCTTGAGTACAAAGTTTGGCGAGAGAAGGAAGAGTTTTTTCAAGGAACTTTTAGATAGATCCAGAGAGGAAATCCATCTTTTGGTATGCTATCATTATTATCGTCGTCATCATCATCGGTGTCGATACAGACAGAGTTCAGTGTTCAGATAACAAGTTCATAACGGGTTTCCGTAAGTGTTACAAGGGGAACTTCTCATCGCTTTAGCTGCCTCGAAGTTTCTTGATAACAGTCTAGGATATCGTAGAGAGAGATTGTCGACGATTTAAATATCGCCGCCGCGCCGCTCAGCAGACCCAGTCGGTACGTCTTGTAAAATCGTAAATCGTAGCTTTTCGGACGAGGACTTTTCCAGAGGAGTCCAGTGTCAACAGGACATTCGACGCGATTTCGAACGGCTTTTCAGACCTCGGTACCATCATTTGCGTCATGTCCGCGTGACTTCCTTGCTCTCGGGGCCGATAGTACCGGTGTCATTCTGGACGGTGCTGATCATCACTTTGCTTCCCTCTCAGGTCATCATTGTTTCCCGTAGGTGGAATGTGGAATGCTCCTTCAATGCGTAATGCAATCTCGTTTTTTTTCCTATTCTTCACGAGAGCTCCGATTCGGCTTCCCTCAGAGCTTATACGGTCCGTCTCGACTCCTCGATAGATAGATTCATTCATTCATTCACCCGTGAGCGCTTCTCCTCGAAGCTTCGTATTTATGTGATCGCTTGCGGTCTGGGACCCTGCAGACAATCATTTCCGCTGCTGATTGAGTAGGTGTTCTGAGACACTCGTTTTGCGTCGACGTTTCAGAGGTTCGTTCCTTGCGTTGATGATGGAATGTTGCTGTAGGTGGTGTACATAACAATGGTAGTAATATTGTAGTAAGTAATTAATTAGGTATCAGGCGTTGTTGCGATATTTGTTGCGAAAGTTTCCTTTGATTTCCACGGCGACTCGCTCCTCCGACGGCTGCCGTTCATCGGTTGTAGAAATGATTCAAAATAGTTAGTAACTGTGTCCGGATTTGTTAAGTTGGGCTTTGATAGTTTGCGTGACAGTGGGATGGCAGTCCCGCGCCATCCTACACGGTTGATTCTAGTCACACGTCATCCATACAATTAATACTATAATGAATGTTCGGAGCCGCTGGGTGAGGCGATGAGTCGTCCTCTTCCGCAGGGGGGAACATCAGACGCGTTCTCCCGCGCCATGAGCGTTTGCTCGTGCAGCTCGCACAAATCATCAACAACGTGCAGCCGGCGACGAAAAACGAAGCTGCTATCGTCACGATGAACAAGTTCATCCCGGAGCTCCGCATGCCTGCATGGGATGGGAAACAGCTTAAAATCGAATAATTATCCCCTAAGTTGGATGGGGTTCAGAACCGGGCTGGAGTTCCGTTGTTAGATGAGAGCAAAGTTCGCGAGACTCACAGTTGACTTCGTCGCTGTCATCCCCAGGACCGCAATTCGCAACGCCGTTACAAACTAATTTCGCGGAAATGCACCGCGAGCTCGCAGCGCAACGTACACCACCAGCAAATGGTCTTGAGTTGCCGATCGCGCTTGACGTCGATTTTAAAGCCGAGCAGTGCTCGTCGTCATCTCTGATCTGGAATCAACATGTTCTGTCACTACAAGCTTTTGTGGGCACACTCCGACCCGGAATCTCCTGCTCCGTATATTTCCCGCCGCCGCAAGGGTAATTTCGGTTCTTACCTCAGACCAGACGGCTTTGAAACCCCTATTCCCGACAGCCTTGGCCGCTGTCATGAATTGAACCTGTGGGGTTTGCAGGGACGCATTTGAAACTCATCGCGAAACCAGGGAGGAAATAACAATGAATACGTGCGTTTGAAACCGGCCCCTCGAACAGGCTGCTCTGTAAGCGAGCTTTGTGACGGTAAATGCTAAATGCAGGGACCGAACGCATTGATGCAACCTACCTTGAGCGTGTTCCCCGTAGACATGATCTCTCTCGTCTCATTGGTCAAAGTTTCTCCGCAGAGCTCGACCGGGGGACCGACTCCATTTGGATCTGGCCAAACTCGTACAACCGCAGATGGGCAACCCCTGGAGAACAGGAATGAAACCGTTTGTTCCAAGTCGCACCCGTCCACCTGGAGCTCGTTTGTGGTCGAGCCGCTCGATCTCGGCGAACCTCCACTCCGAGGCTGAGTGAATCGCCAGTCGGAACAGAATATAAATCTTTTCTCGAAAGCGGGAAGGATACTCCGAAAAACTCACCGATCCGTCGGTTCGCCCTCTACATGGAACATAGTGAAATAGAAGTGTATTCGTCGCTTGGGTTTTACCGTAATCCACCAGTTGCAGAGTTGACGATCGTTCTTGTAGTTTTCTGGATATCCCGGAGAAGTCAAAATTCCTCCGTCCAGCCCAGTGACGTTCAATCCACAGTCGCCGTATCGGGTAACGTTCTGGAAAAATAAATTATTGCAGTTGATCCGGGCAGGACGGCTCATGTGACGCTGAAAACTTTGCCATGCCGCGAAAATATCGGACCGATCTAGGGGTGAAGAGCGATTCGAAGGGGAACAGAACGCAGAGAAGAAGGTCGGGGCAGCTCACCTTCAAGAAATAGTAGTTCGCGCTGAAACCTCCGGCGACACCCTGATCGTCTGTGTGGAGAACGACCCGGACGGTGTGGTAGCCGAGGTCGGTGACGATAGGGCCCGGAGCAGCGCTCGAACAATACCTTCCGTATTTTTTCTCTTGGCCTTTTTCATTCTGTTCGTAGATTTCCAACCAATCTTCCTCGCACCCGTCACTGCAAATAGAGATCCCCTGAGGTGTGGACCTTGAGGCTACCTCGTGAAAATGGATTCTACGACTTTCTGCCGGATCTCTCGAGGCTTTTCGTAGGTCAAATGCTAGTGACAATATGGGTTTGCCATATCGTGTAGTCATGGTGTCGTCATCGAGAATCCGGTGGTCGGGCTTGTCACGAGTACCTACGCTAGCGACAACGGCGGGTCTTCTCGAGTCGCGGACTCCTTTGACCAGGAACCTCAGGAGCTGCACTCTTCCGGGAGCCGAACGCTGAGTCAGTTTTTTCCCTTAAGAATGGCGTGTCCGGAGCTTCTATTTAACAGTCTCCGATCCGGATAGAAGAGTTTCACGAGAGAAAGTAATTGTTCCCTGGCGACTGGGTATCGGAAACTCATTCGCGGAAAAACTTCGGCCGCAGGGGATTATTCGAGAGTGATCCGTTGAAGGGTCGCAGGGCGCTCAAAGCGAGCTGACAATGGTACGCTTCCGGAGAGTACATGATGAATTTTTGACGAGGCAGCTCGATTGAAACCCCTTCAAGTGTACGGACCTTGCATGGTTATCGACAGCACCAGCGAATCATTGACGGTCCCCGCATTCTGTAGCTGTGGCCGGCCTTTGGTCGATGTGGAAAAGTTTTCCCAGACCAAAGCGACTCCTTGACCATGCAGAATGAGGA